ACAGCTACAACTACAACTACAACTACACTGCACTAATTACACTACAATACACTAGACTACAACTACAAGTACGTTCAACTACAAGTACGTACCTACAAGTACGCACAACTACAACTACAACTACAACTACATATACATTACACAACACTACGCTACACTAATGACACTACACTACGACGACAACCACATCTACAATTACAACTGCAAGTACAACTACAATCAGCTACATTACACTACACTTCACTAATTCCAGTCCACTACGCTACGCTACACTACACCAACTACAGCTACAACTACAGTACACTACACTAGAATACAGTTCAAAACACAACACCACAGCACACTACACTACACTACATTACATTTTGCACTACATTAATTACACCACACCACAACTACGATTGCAACTGCAACTACGCCACACTAATTACACTACACCAACTACCACTACACTACACTACAACTACAACGACAGCTGCACTACAGCACACTACATCCAGCAGTTGTGGGTGAGGTGGCCACTGCAAGCATTGCAACCACTCCAAGAAGCACAGCTCCAACCACCTTTCGGTCCATCAGTGGATTCGTTCTGCCGTCCATGCATCTCAACAACTCACCTCGCCTATAGTGTCGGATCTTTGAATACACTTCCGCCACCGCCTTGTGCCGCACTACTGGTACCGTTTTGTACCATGTGATTTGATCAATTCATGTTTCGATAGCGCGGAAGGACATTCCGAGCTGCCCCTCAGATGTTTGATGGATGTTCAGTAATGTTCACGGATGTTCACGGATGTTCAACATTGTGAAGTTTTGGCCCAGATTCAGAACAGACAGTGGGAAAGCCAAGGTGATGCCATTCCTCGTGAGTTTCTGGGCAGAATGGTTTGCTTGATGTGGTTGGTTTGCGGTTTTCTGTGTACCTAATATATCTTGATCCATCTTGATCCAGCTTGTTTTTGCATATGTTTGCTGATGTTTTATGCGACCGCGCCTGCTCATCCTGTACCAATGCGAGGCTTCCCGATTGCTGGCGTGGGCACATTGGGCCTGGGCCCCCTGAGTCGAGCTGGCGCTGCCTGGACCTTCCTGGCCGCTGTCGTGGCGTACGTGTTGAAGGACGCCACGCAACGCGGTCGGATCCACAGCGGCAAAACCTTTCGCTTTCTCAGGCAGAGCGGCGACATTTCAAATACGTGAACAGTTGTGTGAATACATGTGGATACATATGCGGAATTATTGTACATATATCATGCCCTTTTATGTCACAACATGACCGACTCAGAAAGTGGCATATTTCAACGGCAAGAAAGGTAACCCTCTGAATTGTTTTTCAACAATCTGTGACAGGTGGGGTTTAGTAGCTTCCTCTGGCAGCCACTTGGTGCTGGTGCTTCTGACATTGGCCGGGATCGATGGTGGGCGTGCAGCGCTCATGAAGTTCTACCCTGGAACGATGTCCTGTCTTAAGCTGGCCTTGTGCTCTTTGGTGATGTACCTTGCAAGGGCGTTCATCCATTCTTTTCCCTGCGAAAATAACTATGCGGACTTGTTCTTGTAACCGGGTTTGAAGGAAAAGATTGCAAAAGTCTCTGGTTTTGCTGCGAACTTCTGCGATTCCAAGGCATGGTCTGGCGGTGTTTGCTGCGTTAACACCGCCTCCAAAGGTTGCCAAGGTCGCTTCCACTGCGGCCGTGTCCGCAGCGTCTGCAGTGTCTGAAGCACCTGCAATGACCGTAACCGCTGCGGAAGCCCCTGAAGCGCCACCTATGGCCGCAGCACCAGCTGTTGCACCTGACGGAGCGTTTAATTTGAATCAGCGCGTGCTGTTCCGGGGACAAGGGGGCACTGTACGATACATTGGAGAAACCAACGTGGGAGTTGGAGAAGCTTGGTGATGAACGACAGTACCATATCATGTAGGGGTGAAAAAGAGATTTGACGTGCCAAAAAGTAAGCGTTTATTTATGTGTAATAGACATAGATCAATATTATGGTTGGTGTACTGTTGTGTACCGCTGTGTGTTGTACTTGGTGCGACGGCTCTCAAGGAATGGATTGGAGTGGAGATGGACGAGGAGATTGGGACACACGATGGCAGCCTCTTTGGCGTTCGATATTTCACTTGCGCAGATCGGCATGGGGTCTTTGCGCAGACATCCCAGCTTCAAGCTGCCTGAGTTCACCTGGACACCTGGGCCTGACCTTGGCCTGTCCTGCTTGCACATGCGTGCCACACACGCATGCCGCACCTGATGCCTCGTGTTGCGTTTGCGGGCGGTGGGCTGCCCGCATTGGCTTATCATTTTTCAATATCAGATGAATTTGATCCAGCTGCGCGAAAAAAGGGGCTCCCAACCGAGGCGCATTGCACAGGATTTGAGTGACACAGACAACCGGTGCATGACTTGCAAAATGACAGTACCGTGCTTTCAGGCCATCTTCAATTCAAGTCACCCAGGCGTGCAAAAACCAAGCCAAACGCAAGACTTAGTTGGAAGTCATTCTGAGCTTTGGAACAGCTATTCTTGCTATTTAATCCCCTGAAATAAGGGCTGGGCCCAATCAAGTCTTCCGCAGCACCTGAGCGAGAGTGACTGCAGAGTTTAGGTAAGCTCAGATAAGTTCAGACACTTGAAAGTTCGGCCAGTCCAGGTCTTTTCTCCGGGTAGGGCTTTGAACTCAGAAACGCAGCGCTTTGGACAGCACCGAGAAACAGCTTGTTGCTGGTGAGGTGGGCCAACTGGGCCAAGTGGGCCAGCTGGGACTGGGCTGGAGCAGCCAGAGCTTTCGCCGCATGTCACTTCCGCCCGAGAGGCGCATCCTTGGGTCTTGCCGTTTGCAATCATGTCAACTTGGCGGGTGAAGATTGAATTGATGAATATTGCGTAAACCTTCTTCCCCAACAGCGCTTGGAGGTCCGAGCCCAGGTAACGTTTCTGCGCGGTTCCGGGAGGTTCCGGTGCAGGGTACATACGGGTTGGTTCCAGGTGGTTCCGGGTGGTTTCGGGATGCTTCTGGTTGGTCCTGGGTGGTTCTGGGTGGTTTTGTGGTTCTGGGCGCGGTCGTTCCAGGGATGAAACCTTGAAAAGCTTCAAGGCACCCTGGCTTCACCCTTGGAGCGCACAAAATACCCCATCACAAGTCGGCTTTGGTTTTGCTTTATTTTGGATGCTTGCAGGCTTGATGGCGCCCCAAGATGTACCAGATGTAGCCTTTGAACGGTTTTGCAAAACATCCTGACGCTTACAAAGTGCAAACTTGGAGCGTAAAACAGAGGCCACAAGACACCGCGTTTCTCGGCCTTTGTTTGCGCTTTATTTTGGATGTTTGCAGGCTTGATGGCATCCCAAGATGTACCCCAAGGCACCACATCATAAGGACCCTTATGATGCAGTCTTTCTTGGGCTTTTTTTTGCTTTATTTTGGATGTTTGCAGGCTTGATAGCGCCCCGTGATGTACCAGATGTAGCCTTTGAACGGTTTTGCAAAACATCCTGACGCTTACAAAGTGCAAACTTGGAGCGTAAAAGAGAGACCACCTGACTCTTATGATGCGGTGTTTCTCGGCCTTTGTTTTTGTTTTTCAGCATCAAGCAAAGGGGCCCAGACCAGTGGGTTTTAGTGATGTATCGATTGTTAATTTCAAAACAATTGGCAAACTTATTTTTTTCTTATTTTTCTCTTTTTCCGGAATGCGGGTTGAGGGTGTGTTCGCTCGACGTTGCGTTTATGTTCCCAACCGGCTGCAACCCTTCGCAACCGTTCGCAACCGTTCGCAACCGGGCCGTATGGCCGTGCCTATGGTAAATTCTGCAAAGGGGTCACTTTTGGAGGTTTCAAACGTCGCGTTGTTTCCTTTCGCCTGGCAGTCGTGGCACTTCGTGACATTCAGACGTGTTTTGTAACGTGTTGAATGTCGTTTTGTGTGGCAGGCGCAATACTTTTGCGACGTTTTCGTAAGATGAGTTGCAGTTTTCGCGGCAGGCGCCGCACTTTGGACGTGTCCATCGTCATTTTGCGTGGCAGGTGCAGCACTTTAGACGTGTCGTGTTGCGTGTTTTTGCGAATCGCATTGTCATGGCTGCGTCAAGTGGCGACAAGGCGCAAATTCCGTGACAGGCGTGACATTTTGTGAGATGTGATGAGAATTGACGGAAGCCTCGTCCGAAACATCGATTTTGAGGTAGCAAATGAGGTTCATCAGAAAACTCGTAGGAAAACGTCGATTTTGAAGCTGCAAATTGTGAAAATTGGAGGAAGTTTCGCACGAAATCCTCATTCTGATGCTCCCACGTGTCTCGTCTCGAGTCTCTGGTTTTCCTGTGGCCTCGCCGTGTCTATGGGGGAAGCTGCAAAACCTCTGCTTTTCGAAGGTTTCCAAGCAGGTTGTCATGCCGTTTTGAGTGGCAGGCGCGGCACTTTGTGACATTCCAACCTGTTTGATAACGTGTCGAAATTCGTTTCGTGTGGCAGGCGCATTTTTGTTGTACCATTTTCACAAGATAAGGTGCAGTTTTCGCGCCTGCCGCACTTTGGACGTGTCCATCGTCATTTTGCGTGGCAGGCGCAGCACTTCAAAGGGGCGCATCACGTGCTCTACACTCCACACTCTACACTCCACACTTTACACATTACATTTTACATTCCACACTTTACACTCCACACTCTACACACGACACGCCCCGCTTGCAACTCCACACTTCACATTCCACACTCTGCACTTTACGCTCCACACTCCACACTCTACACTTCACACTCCACACTCCACACTTTACACTCCACACTTTACACTCTACACTTCACACTCCACACTCTACACTCCACACTCTACACTTTACGCTTTACACTCCACACTCCACACTTTACACTCCACACTTTACTACACTTTACACTCTACACTTTACACTCCACACTCGACACTCTACACTCCACACCTTGCCTTTACACTCCACTCTTTACACCCCACACACACTACACACGACGCTCCCCACTTTACGCTCCACACTTTACACTCTACAGTTTACACTCCACACTCTCCACTTTACACTCCAGACTCCACACTGTACACTCCACACTTTACACTCCACACTCCACACTTTATACACTTAACACTCCACACTTTAGACTTTACACTCCTCACTCCACACTGGACACTCTACACTCCACACTTTACACATTACACTCCACACTTTACACTCCACACTTTTCGCCCCACACTCCACACTTTACCTCCAGTCTCTACACTCTACACTCCACACTCTATACTTTACACTCCACACTTTACATTCCACACCTTACGCTCCACACTCTACATTACACTTTACACTCCACATTTTACACTTTACACTCCACACTACCCTCCACACGCTACACTTTACACTTAGCACTCCACACCTTACCATTTTCACTTTACACTCCACATGCTACACAACACTGCACACTCCACACTCTACACTTTACTCTCCACACTCCACACGTGATACGCTCTGCACTTTACTCTCCACACTCTACACTGCACACTTTACACTCCACATTTTTTTCACTCTACACTTTGCACTCTACACTTTTCACCCCACACTCCGCACTTTACTACACTTTACACTCCACACCCCACACTCTACAATTTACATTCCACACTCTACACTTTACACTCCACACTCCGCACTTTACACTCCACACTCCACACTTTACACTCCCCACTATACACTCCACACTCCACACTCTACACTTCACACTCCACACTTTACACTCCACACTTTACACTCTACACTTCACACTCCACACTCTACACTCCACACTCTACACTTTACACTCCAGACTCCACACTGTACACTCCACACTTTACACTCCACACCCCACACTTTATACACTTAACACTCCACACTTTAGACTTTACACTCCACACTCCACACTGGACACTCTACACTCCACACTTTACACATTACACTCCACACTTTTCGCCCCACACTCCACACTTTACCTCCAGTCTCTACACGCTACACTCCACACTCTATACTTTACACTCCACACTTTACATTCCACACTTTACGCTCCACACTCTACACTTCACACTCCCTAAATTATACTCCACGCTCTACACTTTACACTTTGCACTCCACATTTTACACTTTACACTCCACACTACCCTCCACACGCTACACTTTACACTTAGCACTCCACACCTTACCATTTTCACTTTACACTCCACACGCTACACCACACTGCACACTCCACACTCTACACTTTACTCTCCACACTCCACACGTGATACGCTCTGCACTTTACTCTCCACTCTACACTGCACACTTTACACTCCACATTTTTTTTCACTCTACACTTTTCACCCCACACTCCGCACTTTACACTCCACACTTCACACTTTACACTCACACCCCAAACTCTACAATTTACATTCCACACTCTACACTTTACACTCCACACTCCGCACTTTACACTCCACACTTTTCACTCCCCACTATACACTCCACACTCCACACTCTACACTTCACACTCCACACTTTACACTCCACACTTTACACTCCACACTTTACACTCTACACTTCACACTCCACACTCTACACTCCACACTCTACACTTTACACTCCCCAAATTATCCCCGCCCGCTCTACACTTTACACTTTACACTCCACATTTTACACTTTACACTCCACACTACCCTCCGCACTCTACACTTTACACTTTACACTCCGCACTTCACACTCCACAAATTACACTCTGCACTTTACATTTTACACTCCACATTTTAAACGCTACACTCTATACTTTACACTCCACACCCCACACTCTACAATTTACATTCCACACTCCACACTTTACACTTGACGCTCCACACTCTACATTTTACACTCCACACTCGGCACTCTAGACTTTACACTCCACACTTTACACTCCACACTCTACACTCTACACTTTACACTCTACACTTTACACTCTACACTTTACACTCCACACTCCACACTTTACACTGTACACTCCGCACTCCACACTGTACACTTTACATTCCACACTTTACACTTCACACCCCACACTTTGCACTCCACCCTCTTCCGCATTCCACAGTCCACAGTGCACTAGTACGGCAACAGGGGAAAGATGTACACTGTTCAATTAACTTGTTTCACAAAAGTTCTACGTGACTGCATTTGGGTTCGTGGGCTGTATCTTGTTGTTTTCTTTTTCTTATTTCTGAAAATTTTGGCGTCGCCAGGGTTGAACCTTGATAGGTTCATTGGATGCTGTAGCGCTTTCCTGTACCGCCTTGGCTGCTGGGGGTACCTCTCAAGCTTATTGATTGGAAAATCTAAAAAATAGACGATCGTTCGAACATAGCGAGCACATTTACATTTTGGAGTGCAACCGGTCCCCCTTTGACATTTTGACGGGTTTCGCCATGTTCGCTGCAACCTTCAATCGCTTTGAGGCCAACTTGCTTTGCATACGGGCCGCTGGGGATCACAGACTGGTTTGCCTCTACTTAGAAGCACCCTTGTGTGTTGAGTTCTGGCGCACATCGGTCTCAGCCTGCTGCGCAATATCAACTTTGAAAGTTTCGGATGTCAAAACAACACAAGTGAAATCAGTTCAACATCTTCAAAACTCGACACGTGGCTGGGATCAGGTCTTTTCACATGGAATCAGTCCCAGTCCAGGCAGAGCAAGCTCAAAGCAGTGAATATTTTGCGGACATGTCTCAACTGTTTCGACTTGGATCTGTTGTGCTTGTTTCGTGGCACCTAAGTGGCCTCCTACATCCTGCAAGTCTTGGATACATCCGAAGCGCAAAACAAGAACCTATGGCACTGGGCAGGCACTGGGGAGGGAAACTGAGCTCCTTGGCAGAAACCACTCCATTAGAGCACAAGTTTGCCAGTCCACATGGAGGAAGGAATCGTAATTGGTCCAAGATTGTGTGAGTTTTTTGTTGCAAAAGCGTGGAAAAATTGCCGACGTGTTGTCAAAGCTTGTTTTAGTCGTAATTAAGCGCTTGGCTTGCTTCAATGCTGGCAAGCACCACTGTGGGGCTCCAATCTCTGTTTCCAGGCGGTGTCACAACCACCCACTTTCCCCGAGCGGTGTACTTTGGGATTGTTACAGTATAGTGGATGGGGCTGGGTTGATGGAGGGTTCGCATTCCGGCGCCCCGCTAGTTGGTGACCCTTAGATTGCAAAACTTCTGGAGGGTCCGGTCAGGATTTCAATTTGCGTGGCCGGCAGGACAAGGGTCATTTTCTCATCGGCATGGCAGCTGCAGTACCCCGCACACGTTGCTGAAATGTTGGCCAAAATTCGGGCGAGTGCTGCCGCAGGTCATTTTTTTGTGGCAGGCGCAATGTTTAGTGAATTGCGGCTATTGCTTAGAAAGGCTCGAGGCTTTCGTTTGGGGCAATATCGCCATTGTTAAAATGGCTATCTTGAGATCCTTTTTGCGGGGCAGGTGCAAGGGTGCAGATGCCCCAGGCCCGTTTTTCGTGCATAGCAAGAGCGTTTTTTTGGCAGACGGCGAAAAAGTCGCAAATCGTATTGGAACGGTGACGTTCAATGCTGCTGCTTCAGACATCGATGCTTGGAGCCCCATTCTGGCGCGGTGCTCATTTTGACATCGCTCGTGGGTGTTGGATCGCGTTGGTTTCGCTCCCGCGGCTTCTCGTCACCCGAGCGTGCCGCGTCGATCGTTCTCGTTGCGGCCCCATGGTGGCATGAGTTCTCTATAGAAGGTTTTTATGATGGTCTCTTGGGATTCTCATAGAGATTGCTGCACAAAGATCTTGACCAAGTTCTTCTACAGGTAGGTCCTTGGGGCGAGCTGTTTGAAGTGCTTGTATGCGAGCTCTTCCGGGATTCTCTCAGGTTACGGCCAGAAAGATCTTCCGGGATTCTCCGGAAGGTGCGTCTTTGATGATCTTAGGAGATTCTTATAAAGGTCCTTGCGTGAAGATTTTGATCAAGGTCTTGTAGAGGCCCTTGGAAGAAGGTCTTGTAGGGATCCAGGAAGGATCCGTTGAATATCTAGAAGACGTCCTTTTAAGGGGGCTTTCATGCAAGTTCTTGTCGGGTGCGTTCAGGAGCGTCTTGCTTCAACATTTTCGAATATGTTTTACAAGGTCCGATCCTGTGAGGTTGATTCTCTTCTAGGCCCTGGTATCAAGATCTTGTAGAGGTTCTTCACCCTGTTTGGGGTCTCTTTGTTTCTAAGTTCTGATATGGTTCCGGGATAGGACGAGCTAGGTGTGCGCAAAGGTTCTTGCCTAGGAACAGCTACAGCTAGGGCTGCGCAAAAGAATTTGAGGAGGAACAGAGCGCGCTACAGGTTTCGGATAGTAATGGCTAGGTTGGCACAAAAGGCTGGGGGAAATCCGGGTGTGCGCAAAGCCTGCGAAACGCCACGTTCCAGCATTCCCCACATCTTTGTGTGGGGTTCTTGTTTTTGATTCTGTATCCCGCCACCTCCTCCTTGTCCTCCTCCTCCGCCGCCTCCTCGTCTTTCACTCACAACTTTGTCGCCCACCATCTTTCACACACAATCTTTCACACACATCTTTGTCAACCACCATCTTTCACACACAACTTTGTCAACCACCATCTTTCACACACAACTTTGTCACCCACCATCTTTCACACCCATCTTTGTTACCCACCATCTTTCACACACATCTTTGTCACCCACCATCTTTCACACACATCTTTGTCACCCACGATCTTTCACACACATCTTTGTCGTTTGGCGTGGCAGGCGTGGCGCGTGGCAGGCGTGGCACTTAGGGCACTGGGCTGGCTCTGGTGGCACGCTTGGACTGAATTGGTCGCCGGTGACGCCGCGGCACTTTGCGTGGCAGGCGTGGCGCTTGGTGACATCCACCTTCGTTTCCCGTGGCAGGCGTGGCACTTGGTGACATCCACCTTCGTTTTGCGTGGCAGGCTAGGCGCTTGGTGACATCCACCTTCGTTTCACGTGGAAGGCGTTGCACTTGGTGACATCCACCTTCGTTTCGCATGGCAGGCGTGGCACTTAGGGCACTTTGCTGGCTCTGGTGGCGCGCTTGGACTGGATTGGTCGCCGGTGACGCCGCGGCACTTTGCGTGGCAGGCGTGGCACTTGGTGACATCCACGTTTCACGTGGCAGGTGTGGCACTTAGGGCACTGGGCTGGCTCTGGTGGCGCGCTTGGACTGGATTGGTCGCCGGTGACGCCGCAGCACTTTGCGTGGCAGGCGTGGCGCATGGTGACATCCACCTTCGTTTCCCGTGGCAGGCGTGGCACTTGGTGACATCCACCTTCGTTTCGTGTGGCAGGCGTGGCACTTCGGGCACTGGGCTGGCTCTGGCGGCGCGCTTGGACTGGATTGGTCGCCAGTGACGCCGCGGCACTTTGCGTGGCAGGCGTGGCACTTGGCGACATTCACCTTCGTTTCATGTGGCAGGCGTGGCACTTGGTGACATCCACCTTCGTTTCGCGTGGCAGGCGTGGCCCTTGGTGACAACATGTGACATCCACCTTCGTTTTGCGTGGCAGGCGTGGCCCTTGGCGACACGCACCTTCGTTTTGTCACACACCATCTTTTACACACCATCTTTGACACACCATCTTTCACACCACTTTGTCACACACCATCTCTCACACACCGTCACAGACCATCTTTCACACACCATCTTTTACACAACATCTTTCACACACCACTTTGTCTCACACCATCTTTCACCACACCATCCTTCACGCACCACTTTGTCACACACCATCTTTCACACACCATCTTTCACCACACCATCTTTCACGCACCATCTTTCACCACACCATCTTTCACACACCATCTTTCACCACACCATCTTTCACACACCAACTTTGTTACACACCATCTTTCACACACAACTCTGTCACACACCAACTTTGTCACACACCATCTTTCACACACCAACTTTGTCACACACCATCTTTCACAAACCTCTTTGTCACACCCCACCTTTCATACACCATCTTTCACACATCACATTGTCACACACCATCTTTCACACACCACTTTGTCACATACCAGCTTTGACACACCGCTTTGTCACACACCACTTTGTCACACGCCATCTTTCACACACCGTCACAGGCCATCTTTCACACACCATCTTTCACACAACACTTTGTCTCACACCATCTTTCACCACACCATCCTTCACACACCACTTTGTCACACACCATTTTTCACCACACCATCTTTCACACACAACTTTGTCGCACACCATCTTTCACCACACCATCTTTAACACACAACTTTGTCACACACCATCTTTCGCCAAGCCATCTTTCACACACCACTTTGTCACACACCATCTCTCCCACACAACTTTGTCACACGCTCTCTTTCACACACAACTTTCGCACACACCATTTTTCACACACCACTTTGTCACACACACTATCTTTCTTAGTCACACACCCGCTTTCACATACAACTTTGTCACACACAACTTGGTATTACTTCTCGATCCTCCACCACCTCCTTTGTCTTTCCTTCCTTCCCCGTCCCCGCTACAACATTTGGTGTAATTTCCTGTTTTTCCGCTCTGAGAGCGCCCGTCCACCTCGCCCCCTCCTCCTCCTCCTTCTCCGCAGCCCTTCCCTCACATGGAACCTTGCCACACGCGATTCAACCACACACAAATTGTGATGCAAAACATTGTCACACGCAACCTTGTTACGCACAAACATTGTCAGACGCAACTCTGTCACACGCAGCAATTGTCACGCAAGTCACCCCCACCACACAACTCTGCCAGCGTTTGGCCTGGCAGGCGTGTGACTTACTGCACTGGGCTGGCTGATGGGGACGGCCTTGGTTTGAACCGACGCTGCTTACACTGGTGTGGCAGCACAGGCCTGTCACACACGATATCGTCTTGTTGCAGCATTGTTACATACACCCCCGTCGCACAAAACATTGTTGCCCACAACGTTGTCAGACAAATCCGTCGCACGCGCACACACTCACACAACTCTCTATCTACCCACTAAGCACTACGATTGTCATACATCGATTGTCATACACCGTTTGTCGCACGCAACTCTGTCATGCAACATCACTCTCACACATAATTGCGTCACGCATAGCTCCATCACACAACATGCCAAGCATAGCTCTATGACACAACGTCCTTCACACACAAACAACTCTGTCACGCAACGCCATTTTTTAGACACAGCGCTGCATGCACGATTCTGCTCGTCATGGCTCTTCATCTGTGCAATACACATTTCCCATCACACCATCTTCCCTGCGGATCTGTCTTCCATCGCATCCTTCTTCTTTTCTGCCTTCCCCGTCTCATTTTAAAGCCTATTCCGCACGTGTTGGAAGAGGCCAACACCAACTGCTGAAAACCCTACAGGGCTCGAAGCCGCATGGGTAATTCATTTTTGGTTGCTAAGCTATTTGCTTTGCTCTGGATCCCAGTCACCATGACTTTGGCTGAGGTCAACCTGTTCAACAATTTCAGGCAGGGCATTTCAGCCAGATACTCAAAATTCCTGCCAAGACGGCGATGCCTTTCTGGCATTGGATTGCCCTGAAAGCGAGCAGGCTTGCTGCAAGAGTTGAAAATAGCAAGAAAAGCCGGCTTATTTTTGCTTGAAGCCCGGAGAGGGCAATAACCGCGGTTGAATGGAAGCTATGGAAAGCATGGAAGTCAGCTGCGGCCTGTGGCAACTGAGGTGGTCGCCTCCTCCCATCCAGAAGCACCGGGCACACAGCTTTAAACTGAGAGTGTTTTAAGCTGCTTGTCCCCACATCTTTCTGCGAGGCAGTTCTTGTTTTTGAGTCTGCTGCTCCGGCCCAACCCTTCAAGCCCAAAAAACTTATCCTGAAATTTGCTGAGATACGGATGTGCCAGATTTGCCCAGGGCTGCGCAGGACAGCAGCATGGGATTTGTGGTGTTGATCAAGCTGCAAAGTTACGGGGACAGTCTCCCTGGACCAAGCTCTGCTCACAGAAACCGCTTTGTCTGGGACAGCGAAGTCATGCCAGGGCCCCAATGGACGCTTTCTGTCCAAACCTACAACTGACAAAACGAACCTTGTTTATCATATATGTGTATTTTTCTCACTCGTTGCTTGCATATTTGAGGCGAAATATTTCAACGCCAAGGCATAAAACTACCGAATCATTTTTCCAAATCCAATGCCCGATCGAAGGAAGTTTAGAAGTCAAATTTCCGACACTATGGACAGATGAAAAGCAGAGGTGGGAAGAGCCGGGGAAGAGAAGAGAAGAGAAGAAAGAAGATCAGAGAAGAGAAAGGGTCAGAAGAAAGAAAATGCAGGCGCGCGAAAAGGTAGAAAAAGTCGCGAAGCACTGTGGTTTAAGCACTGTGGTTTTTGCACTGTTTTGGGGCTCCGGGTCGTAAAACTAGGCTCGCTAAAGCCGCGGGTGCGGAGCCATCTGGGCAGATGAGGGGTCAAAAATTGCACGCCGTTGTGGCGGGAAGCAAATTTAAAAGTCTATATGCTAAAAACACCGCAGTGCCGAAGCACTTTTGGAAGTTCAGGTATCCAAAAAGTGCACGCAGCGTTGTGGTGCGAAACAAATTGCGTAGTCAAACGCGTTAAAATCTGAGGGTTCAGAACACTTTTGGAAGTTAGGATGTGCACGGTGTTGCGGCACAGAGCAACGGAGCACATTTCGAAGTCAAAATGGTAAAAACGCCACATGCTCGGACCATTTTTGGATGTTGAAGCGGGCAGGCGCGACTATCACTCTCACTACCACTGCTGCCCCCCTACAACTACAAATACAACTTCAACCACGACTAGAACTACAACTACAAGTGCCACTTCATCTACAATACACAACATTACCTTTGCAACTACAGCTACAGCAACCACCACAACTACAACTACCACCACAACCACAACTACAACTACATCGTACTACAACTACAACTACAAATATCATTACGCTACAACTACAACTACAAATATCATTACGCTACAGCTACAACTGCAACTACAACTACAACGACAACTACGTTACAACTTCAACTACAACTACAACTACGACTGCAATTACCACCAGACTACAACTACCAGCAAACTACAACTACAACTACAACTTTAACTTCAACTACGGTTACGGCTACAACTACAACTACACCACAAGTACAACTAGGACTTCAACTACCACTACAAATATCACTACACTACAACAACAAGTACAACTACCACTACAACTACCACTACACGACACTGCAGCTACAACTACAAATACATTACGCTACACGGCACTACATCCAGCAGTTGTGGGCGAGGCGACCACTGCAACCACTCCGAAAAGCACAGCTCCAACCACCTTTCGGTGCATCAGTGGGTTCGCTCTGCCATCTGTGGTTCACAACAACCAACCTCTCCTATGGGTTTCCTATCTTTGAAAGTTGCGCTACCGCCTTTGCGGTACTACTGATATGTTTTCTATTTGTAACGTAAAACTGTTCAAAGCTTCTGTTGCTTATCTATTCAACCCTGCTTGCTCCCGAGAGCGTCTGAGGGAAGGGCCCGTCCAAATAAACGATATGCGATTATGAGATACACATCTTCATTGTAAACATTTCACTTCTTACACCTTCACATCTTAGATCTGCAGGTCTGCACATCTTGCATGTGCGCATCTTCACAGCGCTCTCTCTCTCTCTTTCTCTCGGTCTCTCTCTCTCTCTCTCTCTTTTCCCCTCCCTCTTCCTGTCCTTTTCTTTCTTAAGATGTGGATGCGGTCGGTTCCCTGTAGAGTTCTGGCTTGTGAATGCCCGACGCTTTTCAGTTCAAAATTGATGCAGCCGTGCCGTTGTATGCGAGGCATGGTTGTATATAGTAGCGGCATGGTTGCGTAGCGTGTTCTGCTGTTTGGTGTTTGGCATTGTTTGGTTGCAGGTCGCAGCGGAGTGGTTGCGACGAGGTTGTTGTAGCTAGATTGACAACAGGGTGTTTCTGCTCAGTGGTAGTGAAGGGGCGGCATGCTGTAAATTACAGGATGCGGTGCGTTTGACGGTCGGTTGGGGAGGTTGTTTGGTCGGCGGTTGCAGATGCGGCCGGTTCCTGCTGGGAAGCGTGCCCAGTGGCATTCTGGTTCGATGATATTCGACGCTTGTCCGTTCAAAAGTGAGCAGACGTGCCGTTGTATTTGGTGAGGCATGGCCGCATATCGCCGTGGAATGGTTGCGCATGTGTCAAAGGAATGATTGCTGCAGGCGCTGTTGGACGGCATTTGGCATTGTTTGGTTGCAGATCCTAGTGGCGCGGCTGCGACAAGGTTGTTGCAGCGGGTTCGGGAAAGGGGCGAAGCCGCGAAACATAGGCGGTACCAAGTGACAGGTGACGCCGGGCTCCTGTATGCAATGTCCCTCTTCCATTCCTTCGTTCAGAAACTTTTTTCCCAAATGCGTAGCGAATGGTTCTCGTTTTACTTTGGGGGTCTGGGGATTGAGACATGTTCGCTCGACGCTGCTTTTGCGCCCGCAACCGTTTGCAACCGTTCGCAACCGTCCACAAGCGTTCGCAACGGTTTGGCCGTGCCTCCGGCGAGTTCTGCAATCTTTTGGAGGTTTCAACCGTCGCGTAACCTCGTTTCGCGTGGTGGGCGTGGCGCTTCGTGACATTCCAACATGCTTCATAAGATGTCCAGAGTTGTTTTTGTGTGGCAGGCGCAATATTTTTGCAAGGTTTTCAGAAGATGATCTGCATTGTTGGTGACATGCGCATCACTTCGGAGACCTCCATCGTCATTTTGCGTGGCAGGCGCAGCACTTCAGACGTGTCGTTTCGCGTGTTTGCGGCGAATCGCATTATCAGGGCTGCGTCAAATGGTGACAAGGTGCAAATTGCCTGGCAGGCGTGGCATTTCATGAGATATGATGAAAATTGACGGAAGCCTCGCACGAAACATCGGTTTTGAGGTAGCAAATTGTGAGGTTCATGAGAAAACTCGCGAGAAAACGTCGATTTTGAAGCTGCGAAGTGTTAAAATTTGAGGACATCTCGCACGAAATGTTCGTTTTCAGGCTCCAACATGTCTCGTCACGCTTCTCTAGTTTTTTTTCTGCCGCCGCCGTGCCTAGGGGGGAAGCTGCAAAAGCTTCTTCTGTTTTGAAGGCGTCAAAACAGGTTGTATTGTCGTTTTGCGAGGCAGGCGTGGCACACTCGCACGTGTCTGCAAAAGTGCCGAAAGCCGTTTTGTGTGACAGGCACAATAGTTCGCGGCAGGTGCAGCACTTTGGAGACCGCCATCGTCATTTTGCGTGACAGGCAGCACTTTAGGCGTGTCGTGTTGCGTGTTTGTTGCGAATCGCATTGCTAGGGCTGCGTCAAGTGGTGTCAACGCGCAAATCGCGTGGCAGGCGCGCGAGTAAAGTGTATTGTGTAAAGTGCGGAGTGCAGAGTGTGGGCTGTAAAGTGTACAGTGTGGAGTGTAAAGCGCGGAGCGTGTAGAGTGTGTGGAGTGTAGAGTGTGGAGTGCGGGGTGTAGTGGAGTGTAGTGGGGCGTAGTGGGGCGTAGTGGGGTGTAAAGTGTAAAGTGCGGAGTGTGGAGTGTAGCGTGGCGACAACTGCTTTTCGTGGCACCAAATGCAAAAGAGTTGGAGCAATAGGTTCCTGGAGAAGTGGCGCGGTCCCTTCGCAACCAGCGACACATCAGATCGTGCCCCATTGCAAGTGGAAAAAAAGAACGCGTGACGACAGCTGCTTTGAGTTGATGTCTGTGTGGCTCTGGTTTTCATTACATACGTTCCCTTTACGTGATCTGCATTCCGGGTTCGTTGGTTTCTCTTGGTATCTTTGATAAAGGGAGCTTTGGGGGCATGTTGCGGTGTGTTCAAAGCAATGGTGACGGGCCTGTCGTGAATGTTACTGGCTTTTTCTGCCTTCCCAAATCAATCGGAGAAGAAAGAGATACAGAGATTAAATGACAACTCGCTGTGCCGTCGCATCCTGTTCGATGTGCGCGCGTAGTGCAACTGAGGGTTCCAGGTCACTTTTTCTCTTTGTTGACGCTGTGCTGTTGTGTTTTGCAGTTTAGTGCTTGCAGTCGCAGTGGAATGGCTGCGCCAAGGTCTCTCGAAGGGCACTTGTTCTTCAGTAATGTCTTGCGGTTGTGGCTTGTGGTTTGCAAGCCATTGTTGGCAGATTGCATTGGAACTGCTACATCAAGGATGCGGTTTGCATGCTAGTTAGAATTTGCATGAAACATTGTGTTTGCTTCGGGTCGCCGGAGGTTCCGTCGCGCAGAAAAGTTGGCTCGCTTGCGCGATGGTTTCGGCGATCCTCGCTTTGCGTCTGTGTGTAGAAGCGTCCGTGTGTAGAGTCTAGAGGAGCCTGTGTGTAAAGGCGTCCGTGTGTAACGGCGTCTGCGTGCAAAAGCGTTTGTGTATAAAAGCTCCCGTGTGTAAAGGAGCCTGTGTGTAAATCAAAAGCGCTTGTGTGTAAAAACGTCTGTGTGTAAGAGCGTCTGTGTGTAAAAGCGTCTGTGTCTAAAATCGTTTGCGTGTAAAAGCACCTGTGTGAAAAGGAATCTGTGAAAGCATCTGTTTGTGTGTAAAGGCATTTGTGTGTGTAGAAGCGTTTGTGTGTAAAAGCGCCTGTGTGTAAAGGCATGTGTGTCTAAAAGCGTCTGTGTGTAAAGCATTTGTGTGTAAGAGCGCCTGCGGGTGTAAAAGGTGTCTGTGTGAAGAAACGTCTAATTGCAAAAGCGTGTAGTGTAAAACGCACTGCTGCAAAAACGCAATGTAATTAATGGCTGCATGAATGTTGCATGGGACTTGGGTTGGGGAGGAAGTCAGAGCACGAAACCTTGTGTTTTTCCGTGTACAGTGGCTGCAGCCAACGATGAAGGGCAGGTCCTGTGCATGGTGGCTGCGGCTGCGGTCGTTTCGGGGTCGAATCGGTTCCTCCTTGGTGTTCTGCAACACGTGGATGGAAATCTTATTGTAATGGCTGCATGAACGTGCACACGCTGCTGCAAAATGCATTGTAACGGCTGCATGAATGATGCAATGTTACATAGGGCTTGGGTTGGGGAAGAAGCCGGGGCACGAAAACGTGTGTTTATCCGTGCAAAGTGGCTGCAGCCGGTGATGAAGGGGAGGTCCTGTGTGCGGCGGTTGCGGCTGCGGTCATTTCAAGGTACCGTGGAGTACTTTAACAAACTTTGTGCAATTTTT